TCCAAAGGGATATTTGAAACTCACCAAATATTTGGTCATTGTGATTTAATAAAAAAAATCCATGATTTGGTAACTATCCACATTATGGAGGAAAGCCATAGTCAAGGGCACTGGAGGCTGGAATGAAGTGAAACTCTGACCTGTGCCTCGTGGAAGGCTGCAGTGTTAAGTGCCCTTCAACTTCTGCCTCCTTGCCTTTCTTCAAACCCATGAAAATCTCTGCCATGATTTCTGAAACTTTTTCTGCTGTGGATGATATTAAATGAAAATAAAGAGTCCCTATGTCCAAAACGTGGACACAGAGAGACAGTTTTAACTTGGGTCTATACCCATGGACACTGCTGAAAGGAAAGAAAGTACAGACAGGAGGCCACAATTTGCTAATCCAAATTCATTTTGGTCAATTTAGAAAAGAAATGGTGCTGGGGGTTCAATGCTGAACAGACTTATTCTGGATGCCTCCCTGTGCCAAGCAGAGCATAGGCCTCAGGGAGTCAGAATTGGAAAAAAAAAGGAGACATTCTACCCAAATACCCAGCACACATATCTGTAAGGTCAAAATTAAAATGCCCATCTAGAGATAGGAAAAGGGTCAATTTGGGTCACTGGACATATTAATTGAGTGGCATAAAGATTAACCTAGTCAGGACTAACAGTAACAACAATACTCAGATTTTATTTTGCCTGGATTTTATTCATATATCCCATATTATTCAAATAGAAGAACAAAGTATTTATCCTTACTCTGCAGTTGCATCAGTGGGAAATCAACTCAGATGACAAGTCTGAATCTAGACACAGTTAGGTATTGGGACTGAGAGATTCTGAAACAGATGGATTACTTTTATTTTTATTCTTTCCCACTTGATATTTTTCAGTATAGGTCCAAAGATCTTAACCACTGGTAAATCTCTGGCATTTTTAGCATCTTTACAGTTTTGTGAATGGGAATGAAATCAAAACCTAACATTATGTTTGCCTTGAGATTGACAGGTCTGTTTTCCAGCATGGAGGATCATGTGGTGAGCGCAAGGAGGTTCTGGAGGGGGCCCGAGAGTGTGATCTGTGCTGAATGATCATCAGCCTCCCCTGCTGTGACCTCTCCTGTGAACTGTGGCTGTTCTTCCGTGGTGCATGCAACAGGCGACCTCACTGCTCTGCCTGTGAACACCAGGAATGACAAGAGGAAGAACAGAGTAAGCAAGAGAAATGGCTAGTGGGCTTGCTGATGGGACAGCCTGCCAGGATTCTCCTGTGATGCCCTGTGTCCATGGTCAGACAGCCCAGTGCAAACAAAACTGCACTTTTTCTGGTCTAACAAACAAGAACAAGTTCCATAATTATAATGTTCTTCTTTGTTTATTGTAAAGTATAATAAATTGGGCGTGCATAACTACAGCATGTGATATACATGAAATGAAAAAAAGAGATAGACCACATTGCTCAGCACTGAGCCTGGGAAGCCCTGCATATCGGTTTATTATGCTCTGGCTTCAGTCATCCTCCTCATCATCTTTTCACCACCATAGTCCTTTCATAGAGGTAAGAAAACACTTTTAAAGGACCAACCCATTTTGTGCAGTTTTGGGTGAGATTTCTATGGAAAACAGAACCAGTCTGGTAGAGATAAAATTTTTAAAATGATATCCAATACCCTCACCTTAAACAAAAAACAAAACTTCACCAACCCATACAAAAACTGCATGTTGGTGTTCTTCCTTCTGGCTACTCAAACAGTGAAATTTGTCCTCAAACTGAGGAAATATTACTCCCTGTATTCATTAGCACATCCAAAAGCTCACTCTGTACTTACAGGATTACAATGATTCTCTCCTGGATCACGACTAAGAATTGCACATGCCAAGACCCATCCATACCTGGTGCCCAACAAAGGCTCAGACTCTGTGCCCAGCATTCCTATGAATATGCTGTCAGCTGGGTGCTTCCTGATGCATAACCACAGCAGGAGACACAGTCACGCAGCTCACTGGTCAGGAACCATACACTGAAGGGCTGCAGGCACAGGCTGACTGTGGACTAATATAGGATCTTGGAAGCTCAATACACAGAGCTCACAATTAGACTAATTGGTCCACGCAATGCCCATCTCTAAGGACTTCCCAATATTAATGCAAGAAGATGAAGAAGAGAAAATGAAGGTCCACTTAAGATTTGGACCCTAGGTGTAATTCGGAGGAAAATTGCATACCTAATTTTCTTCTTTTACTTCTGTGTTTTTCAAAGATACATCAGCTTTTAAAGCCCATTCTTATTAGGATAAAAAATATATATAACAAATAAATTACTATATGAATCATAATAAATATATACCTCAGTGACATTCACTTGGTCAAAAGTTATTTTTTAACTAAGCATTCAGTAATTAAAGAAATAGTGTATCTACTTCTTAAAATGATTGTCAAAGGACTCTACAGCATTAAAATGATGTGAAATTCAAAACTTTGTCTCAAGCCAGGCTCTAAGTGTCTACTGTCACTTCCCTTTGTTCCTACTTTGCTTTTCAAAAGCTAATGGACATCTCTGCCATTGTTTGGGGGTAATTCTATCTAATTTGTTTTTGCCCATATTTTATTCTACCATCACATATTAACCACATAGGTAGCACAGATTTTCTGTTTAATCTGAATTCATTGTCATTGTATCAACAAGAAATCACCTTGGATGACATTATTGAGTATCGGAGATGCTAACAACCTGCCCATTGTTGCAGAAAGAATGAATCTAGACAAGAGCAGCAAAAATTAAATTTTAAATCTGTGGTTGTGTTGCATTAAACTTTTTGACTTTTTTCCAAAATCAGAATATTTTAACCTGGATCCATGGGTCTTAGCTTGAGGTACATATCCGGTACATTCTTAACCCTTTTCAAATTCCTGAGTAGTAATGCAGTCTAGACCTGCTTTGCTCTTCATCTGATGGAGATGGCTTATTAGCAGAATGCAGGAGGATGTGGAAGCTGCAAGGGCATCCTGGAGTGGGGGGCACAGGGAGATCTTTGCTGGATTATTTATGCCCACTTGATCTTAGATCTTTCTGCTCATCTCAGCCATTCTTCCTGAATTGGTGCTGATACAGCCACAAAGAGATCCCTCACCATAATTGTAACATATAAGCTTCTTCAGGGCCAACATCATAATTAAGCTCTTTGACAGCAAGATTTTGTAAAGAGTGTCAACAGGATTTAACAGGATTTCTTCAGAGAGCATATTCTGATTTGAAGCTTCCTCTTTCTAAATGCAAGGTTTGATGACAAAGGCTGTAATACACTCTGTCTCAATAGACATTTGTATAAAAGGTAATATTTTGTTTTCCTTGGTAAAACTTGTGAAACCTCTGTCAAGACTAAGACTATGGGACAAAGAGTACCTGCCATGTAACCAACCACTATTATGAAACTCTGTCCCCAACTGTGTATAAATCTCAAATAATTTTCAAATCCAGAGTCCAGAGATTTTTAGTCATTAGGCTCTTGGGACCACTGCAATTTAAATAAACCTGCTTCCTAAAAATACCTTGGGTGTCCAGCCTGATCTGTCCTACATCAGTGCAACTGATGCCACAGAATGCTCTGTCCTGGGATCCACCAGAAATCCCAAAGGGAAGTGCACAGGAAAGAGATTGCATTCTACACAGACAGCAAGGTGAAACACAGGGTTGCTTGTGGAGGGGACAACCTGTCAGCACTGTCCTGCCAAGATGCCATATGCCTCAAAGCCACAGTGCACTTCACACATGGCTTCAGCTATTTGACCTGAACACCCACCACAAGTTACTAAAATCTCTGATCTTTTCCAATATGTCAAATATAATAATGTGGCAATTATACCTTGATAAAAATTAGGCAGACAAATGTAAACACCCTACACACACCACACACTTCAGCACCTGCCACCCAGCACCCTCTCAATAAAAGATCATATGTTTGGATGCTGTCCTCATCCAGGTCCACCTCCTCCTCCTCACCTAAATAGACATCTCTCAGTGCTGAAGACAGTGTGAAGAGCACATTCCTCCATGTGGATGACAGTGTGTGGTAAGAAGGATCAGTGTGGGAGGAAAGGAAAACTGTAGTGGCATGTCACACACATGCCTCTACTCTCAGTCCCCATGACTGACACTGTTCAGTGCTCTCTCCTCTGGGCAGTCACACTGCATGTTGGTCCTTCCTCCATCCTCACCTCCCTCAGCTGTTACCGATTTACACTGGCTCAGGTGGTCGTGACTAAGGAGAGTGGATTCCACATGGCTGGTACCCAGGGGCCTCCCACCTCATCTTTAGGGCTGAATCTGTGCATGCTCAGCTAGGGACTTCCTAAGACAAACCAGTGTGAGAAGAAACACAGGATGCAGCCCACCTGACTGGAGCCATCAAGCTGAAAGGCTGGAGGCACAGGCTGCTCGTTGACTATGGTGTGACCTTGGAGGCTCAATGCATAGAACTCCTGACTGGCCAATAGGTGAGCATATTACAGACTCTACAACTTGCTAATATTAATAGTGGAATAAAAATGTTAGAAAATTAACATTAATTAAGGTTTTGCACCAACTTTTAGCAAAAAGGAAGTTTATCTATATTATTGATTTTTAATTGGTTTTTTTAAATAATACTTTCTTAAGTCCACTTTCATTATAGTAGATTTAAATTACAAAAAAATGACATTATTACCATTGTCAATTGCATAGCTTAGTGGCATTAAATATAGACATAGTTGTTCAACAATCACTATCATATACTCCAACATTCTTTATCTAACCAAAGTGAAACCATGTCCCCAATGTGAAAAGAACCAAACATCCCTTCTCAGCATGAGTTCCAACCACTTTACTATAAAACTTAGTGACACATTAACACAAGGGGCATATTGACAGGACCATGTATTTAGCTTTGCTACATTTTCAAACATGCATTGCAACCAGTCACCATGAGTGCTGAGATTTGCTGTGCAGTCTCCTCAGGGCACTATTAATATCCCTGTTCCTCAGGCTGTAGATGAAGGATTCAGCATGGGAGTGACCACAGTGTACATCAGAGAGGCCACTGCACCCTTTCTAGGAGAATGTGATACAGATGATCCAAAGTACACTCCAAAGGCTGTTCCTAAAAATAAGCAAACAACTGCCAGGTCAGACCCACAGGTGGAGAAGGCTTTGTACTTCCCACCTGAGGATGGGATCTTCAGAATGGAGGAAATAATTTTGTAATAAGAGAAAAAGATCCCTGCAATGGGGAAAAGGCCATAGATGACAATAAGAATGTATTTGACAATGATATTAGAGTAGGTGTCTGAACAGGAAAGATTCAGAAGTTGAGAAGGATCACAAAAGAAACTAGAAATTTCCATATTCTTGAAGCTGGAAATTTTTAAGATCATCAAATTGTGCAACTGGAAGTCCAAAAGAATCAGCAAAAATGACACCAAAACTAAGAAGCCACAGAGGCGAGGATTCATAATGATTGGATAATGTAGGGGGTGACAGATGGCCACAAACCGGTCATAGGCCATCTCAGTCAGAAGCATATAATCCATATAGACAAAAATGGCAAAAAAGGACATCTGTGTCAGGCAGTCCACATAGGAGATGACATTGTGAGTCTGAATATTTACAATCATGTTTGGGACCGTGGTAGAGATGAAACCAATGTCAGCCAAGGACAGGTTGGAGAGGAAGAAGTACATGGGGGTGTGGAGGTGGGGGTCAGAGCTGATCACCAGGATGATGAGCAGGTTTCCAAGCACTGTGACCAGGTACATGGACAGGAACGGTCCAAAGAGGATGGGTTGCAGGTCTGGATCCTCTGAGAAGCTCATGAGTAGGAATTCAGAGACACGGGTTAAATTTTGTGCTTCTATGTTGCTTGGACATCTTTTGGAAAGCAAAGAGGGTGTTAAAAAAAGAAAAAGAAACACATTAAATAGGCACCGCTCATCAGGAAACATTTGAATCCAACTATGCACAAGGAAGATGCTCACACATGAGGTCCACATACCTTCAACAATAATTCTCAATAGTGAATCACCTGGTCTCTACATACACTTTCATTATTACTTTCTCCATCATTCACCCATCTTTCCATACACACTTTTGAGACATTAAACTGAGCAATGTTAGAAGTCCAAGACAATAGGAGAGAAGGAGTTCATGATCACAATAAAATACAGCTTACTCTTTATAGAAAAATTAGGGAATAAATAATGACCTTACTATAAAGGAAATTAAGAGGAAGTTTGATACGCCTCATTTTTCTCTCAGGACTTTAGTTAAAGTCAGTTTGACAAGATATTTAAGACTGTGTAAGAACAGCATGTCCAGACAACTAGATCAATGATGATGGATCAAAACCAGAAAGCTGTATGTGCCCATTTTCTGCAAGGGTTCTCATAATTCTTTGATCTTTTCATGTGCCACCTGTATGGATTTAAGTTTTCTCTTCAAAAATTATGTAACATAAAATAAAATTCCTTGTTTTGGTGAACTTCAAATTTTGATAAATATGATTGAATCAGTGCACATAATCAATCACAGCATTGACCAAAAATGTGGCATTAGTGTATACTGTACCTGTCAATGATTTTTAAATCATAGACTTAAAAATCTCCTTTGAATCACTTTATTATGTGCAGGTTTATTGTATCAACTCATATAATAAAAGCTAAATGTCTGTTATAGGAAATAGCCCTTAAATCTTTCTTTTTTCTTGATTCTGAATGCCATCTGGCCTGATAAAAATGCTTCATGGTTTTGTGACCTCAACCCATCAAGTTCATTTTTTATGATCTAAGCACCAAGGAAAGCCCTGAAGCTCTGGTTTAATTTCCATACTTTTTCTTCTTCATGGATTTTCTGGTCAGTCATTAGTAACACATTCATTTCAATTATATTATTTATATAATAATTGCACGTGTGTTCATTATTTATCATTACTCTTTGTGATTGAACTGCATATAGTACAAAATACAGCATAATAAGAAATAATGTAACAACTTCTTGGAAATTTTATCATTTGTAAAATGAGGTAATAATTACCTACCTTTATGGTTATCATCAGGATTTTTTTAACAAACTTTTTGCATTGCATAACTTGTACTTCTCTCCCATTATTCTCCCATGGTCAGGGGCATGGGAGGCTGGAATTAAGTGAAACTCTGACCTGTGAATCAGTGGAAAGCTGCAGCATTAAGTGCCCTTCAGCTTCTGCTTCGTTGCCATTCTTCAAAACCATGCAAATTTCTGCCCTGATCTCTGAAAATTTGTCTACTGTGAATGAAATGAAATAAAACTGAAGGGTTCCTATGTCCAAATCATGGACCCAAAAGGACCCTGCTTTAACTTATGTCTATTCCCATGGACACTGCTAAAAGGAATGAAAGTAGACAGGAGGCCACAATCTGTCAATCCAAATTGATTTGGGCCAATTTAGAAAAGAAGGATGGATTGGTTCAATGCTCAAAAGAATTTGTTCTAATTTCTTCCCTGTGCCAAGCAGAACATGGGCCACAGAGAGTAAGAAACAGAAAAGGATACATTATTTCCAAATACACATCTCATATATCTCTAAGGGCAAAAATAAAGTGTCTCATCCCCCAAAAATGGAAAATGATAATTCGGGTCACTGAATATATTAGTTGAGTGGCATGAAGATTAACCTAGTCATGACTAACAGTAAAAATAATATTCACATTTTATTTTTCCTCGATTTTATTTATATATCCCTTATTATTCAAGTAAGAGAACACATATTTATCCTTACCCACTGCAATTGTATCAACTAGAAATCATCTCAGATGACAAGGCTGAATCTAGATAACAATGAAACAGCTTAACAGAGATAGTAATTGGAACTGAGAGATTCTAAAACAGATCAATTAAATATTTTTATTCTTTCTTATCTTTCATAATAGGTCCAGAGATTGTAACTACTGGCAAATCTCAGGTATGTTTTAATAATCTTTCCTGTTTCATGAATGGAAATGAAATCAAACCCGACCTTATGTCTGCTTTGAGATTGAGAAGGCTGTTTTTAAGCATGGAGGATCATGTGGTGAGCTCAAGGAGGTTCTGGAGGGGGGCCAAGAGCATGATCTGTGCTGAACGATCATCAGCCTCCCCTACTGTGACCTCTCTTGTGACCTGTGGCTGTTCTTCCATAGTGCATGCAACAGGCTCTCCCACTGATCTGCCCTGTGATCAACAGAATCCCACGAAAAAGAAAGAGCACAGTGGGCAAGGCTCTCTTTCAGCAGTGACAGGGAAGAGGAATGGCTGGGTGGCTTGATGATGGGACAGCCTGCCAGGATTCTGTGATGCCCTGTGTCCATGATCAGAGAACCCAATGCAAACAAGGCTTCACTGCTATCTAACAAATGAGTACAAGTTTCATAATTGTAATGCACTTTTTCATTTTATATATTATACTAATAATGTGGACATATATAACAAAGGTGAGAAGGTGCACATGAAATGACACAGAGCACATTGCTCAGCACCTGAGCCTGGGAAGCTCTGCACATCAGTTCATGGTGCTCTGGCTTCTGTCATCCTCATCATCATCCTTATCATCATCAACTTTAGTCCTTTTCTAAACCTCAGAAAACATTTTTGAAGGACCCATTTTGTACTGTTGTGAGATTTCTGCGTGAATTAGAACCAGTGTGGGTGGAGAGCACATTTTGAATTTCTTATTCGCCCCCCCCCATACAAAAGCGTGAACCCCACAACCCCAAGGTTGAAGTTGCATTCTGGTGTCCTCCCATATGGCTAATCTGTGGTGTTTGACCCTGTGCTGAAGTAACACTACTTCCCCAGTCCTTCCCACACCCAAGGCCCCCTCTGCACTTACTGGGCCATGCTGCTTCTCTGCAGGGTCATGACCAAGAAGTGCTGATCCTGAGACTCTACCAAGTGTGGAGCTCAGAGAAGGAGCAAATATGTCCACAGGAACAGATAATGTGTTCAGGAGATTCTTGATGCAGACACCCCAGGAGGAGAGACAGCTAAACAGGTCACTGGAAGATGTCATCAACTGAAGGACTACAAGCACAGGCTGAGTGAGGACTATTATATGACCTTGGAAGATCAATACACAGAAATTATAATTAGAATAATTAGTTTATGAAATCCCCATCTCCAGGGATTTTTGATCATTAATGAGGAAGACAAAGGAAAATGTGTGCTCATATAAGTTTCTGGCCCTAACATGAATTAGCAAGAAGTTTATACATTCTATTTTCTTTTATTTCTTTGCTTTTTAAGATACATCTGTGATTAATGTCCATTTTATTGGGGTACAATATAAATACAAAAAATGACCATTTGAACCACATTAAGTACATTTTTGGTGACATTAATTGCATTCGCATTGCTGTGCCATGATCATTATCATTCAAATCCAGAAATTTTCCATCTTCTAGAATTTAGCTGTGTACCCAGGTGAAAAAAACCTCACCATTCCTCCCACCTCAACCCAGTGACCACCACTCTTCTGTGAAGTATGATGAGAAGAGAGTCATTCAAACAAAAAGCAAGTGCTCAGGGAAGGGGCATTTCCATGACTGGATTTAATTATGTTGTATTTTCCAGCTAGCACTACCATCGGGTGCCTCAGATACTGAGAATGCTAGCAGCCTCCTCAATGGTGGAGTAATGACTCTGTTCCTCTGGCTTAACTGAAGTATTCTGCATACAGGTGCCTACTGCACAACCATGGAGACCAGCACACCTTTTCTACACTCCAAAGGTGCTTGAATTTGCCCCTATTTTATACTTCCAAGTCATGGTAATGGGGAACAAACATTTTCTGTTTAATTTGTATTCAATGCAACTGTATGAGTAGAATCCACCTCAGTTGCTGGTTCTCAGTGACACTAACAACTTGTTCTGTGTTCAAGAAATGATAGGTAGATCTAGCAGCACTGATGCTAAATTGTGAATCTCTGGGCCTGATGCATGGGTTTCCTAATATTAGAAACATTCTAAGCAGAGCTCCAGAGGCCTCAACTGCAGACACATCTCAGGTACACTTTGACCACTCGTCAGTTTCCTGAATGATAATGAAATCCAAGTGTGACTCTGGGTCTTCTTTTCATGTTGAGTGGGCTCATTGTAAGAATACAGTGGCTGTGGGCAGCTCCAGGGATACGCTTGGGGGAGGTCTGTGTCCAGCTATTCTTACCTACTTTTTCATTGATTTTTTTCCTCTTTGAGCCATTTGCCTATGTGCCCTGTGTCTCAACTCCACAGTGCAATTCAAATGTGGCTGCAGTAATTCAACCTAAAAATCTAGTGTGAGTTATGAAAGAATGATCAAGGCTTCAGAGAGTCCACTGTGACCATGAAGTTTGTGATGGGGTGTGTTCTCTTCTCCAGATTGGGCATCAGAGGTTTGCCAGACAATCACAGTCAAAGCCCCTGTGTATAGCCCATCTGAAGTTGGATACCCGATAAGGGAACTCACCTACTGAAGAGCCGGTGTTGTGTGAGTAGTAGCAGCACTCGAAAGAGTGGACAATGAGGCAAGCCTTGAGAGAGGGGGCCCTCCAGCAGTGAGGCATTCCCCCTCCCGGGGTTTTGGCACCAATGAAAGAATGAACAAGGCTTCAGAGTGTCCACTGTGACCATGAACTTCTTCCAGATGGGGCGTCTAAGTCCTGCTGTCGAATGGTGA